CTAAACCCAAATTCTGCTGCGAAGCGCAGCACGACAAGCACGAGTGAAGTGCTATCCGAGCACGACAGACACAATTTGGCGAGTGCGGACGAGAAGGCAGTGCGCAGTCCGACCCCCCGTAGTCCATACACAATGGCTTCCCCTGCGACTGCTGTAGACCCGCCACGCTCCACGACCCCGTTCTCATTGTCAGGTCGAGCATCGGCGCTCTTCAATGCACGCCGTGCCTCTCGTGCACCAACCATCATTCCACGCACCTCCGCCATCTCACGCCAGGATCTCATTGCGTCCGCAGAGCGTATCTACTTTCGCTACCTCTCCCCTGCAGCGAATACACCTGGCTCAAGCGAGAACCATGAGATCTACTTGCCGCCATCACTCCGCATCCATTCGTTTCCGCTCAGCAGTACGCAGGAACCAAAGACTGCGGCGGAGATGAGCATCATGGCCCAGATCCCAGACATGTTCCACTCACAGAAAGAGTACGTCTTCCGCGCTATGGAGCAGGATGCCTTCCCCCGTTTTCTGCGTGCCAAAGCCTTCGGCAACCTAACACCTGTCTCTGCGCTGGTGCGACTCATCGTGGGTCTGGTCGTACTGTGGATCGGCCTGTCCGCCGGCTTCTCGCTCATCTTCCTCGATGTGCACCCCAAGTCCAAGCGCTTCTTCGTAAGTCACCCTACTCTCTCATGAACCCCTTGCTCAAAACGTTGCGCAGCTCTTCCTCCCTTTCAGCATCGCCGTTCTCCTCCTCATTTCCCATCAATACGAACTGGACCCGATCCTCGTGTTCCTCGGCCAGTCGGAGTCGACGCCGTTCCGCACACTCCGCATACGCGAGCCGTATGTCAAGAAGCTCCTCATCGGTCGTGCTATCTGGGTCACCGTCCTCGTCTGCGCTGGTGTCGCGGCCTTGACGCTCCTGTTCTGGGCGGTGCCGGGACACCGCCTATAGAGTGATGTGCCAGTGCACTTGTGCTCAACCCTGCGCTATGTGGACACGAAGAGTGGCTCTTGTCAGAATTCCTTGTTTATATCTCCTGGACTATAGTCGCCTTGGTTGGTCCTCTTCCTTCCGCCCATTGATACTGTAACTCATTGCTACGTTATCTATTTCACGCCATTGGTTACCGACTACCAACGTCGCCACAGCCGTCTTATCGCACCCCATTAACTACTTTGCCTACGCTAGCTATACCCTTCGCCATTATTCCCCCGCGCGCCACTCCTTCCACACCACCGCTCTCCGCTTCTGCACGCTCTCCTTCCCCTCCCGCTATATTTTTACTTCTCGCTAGTCTGTCCGAGTTATGTATGGCCGATGGACGTCTATGCACAGTGGTCTTCTTTGCCACCATCCCCGTCCGAATAACTAAGAGACCAGGTGTCGACGTGGAAGTGCGTCGGGGCCTGGCTAGATTATGTACATACCCGCTTTGCATCTGAACCTCCTGTAATTCTAATCATGTAGAATTCGCTCCCTTCGTACGTCGCGGCAGCATGCAGGCTAAGTCTCGAAGCCGTATTTGCCTTGTCAGCATACAGAGTTCGTACGGAGGATACATACGTGCATGACGACTTCAAGACAAGGTGAAGCTCCGTTGCGCAAGAGATAGCTAGCTTGAACACGGCAAGACGTGAGGGACGTCTCCACGCTCGACTTAGCGAACTTTGTCACCGACCCACTTCGACACCGTAACTCTGCGCTCATGGTGCTCTTGAACCCTAGAACGACGATTCCCCGTATACAGCAGCAGCATACCACTAGTCCAAGTACTCGCCGGTGTGGCTACTGACAGCTGCACTGGCTGACCTTTGCCGTCGGCCGGCGGCGTCGCTCGATGGAGTGTGCGTAGGATAACAACTGTGACTCATGAGCGTAAGAGCGGCGAGAACAGGATGAGTCACCGTGCGACTCCGTCGCATTGCAGGACGTTGCGAGCGGCGCTGTGGCGTGATGCACGGACGTGTCACAGACAGATTGGCATACGGGCTGTACGCAGGGACTGGACCAGGGTCATCGTGATGAGGAGCATGCATGCTGCAGGACTGCGGGACGCTCTTCGTCTGATTCGATTTGATGCACGAGGGAGGTACCGCCCGACATCAACGTATTATGGTCGCGTACAGGAGCTGTGGCGCCATAGCATGACTGGATGAACATCTTCCCTATACTTTCTTTGCGTACAATCCAGGGTTCGCTGTTGGTCATCGTGAATTAGCATGCAGGCGCTAAGGACACTTGGGGACCCCAACGGCGAAATTTCCTGCAAAGCAGTCCAATGTTCTTTTAGTGCTGTAACGTAAGCCTCGTGAGAGTGCTGGTAGCTGGCGGGTAGACACCTACGTCTGTCTCTTCTCCTGACTGCACGCATAGCCCCGAGCTCCCGAACATCAAACTCAGAAGGGCTAGGTTGGGGCAGCATTTCAATGGGCTACGGTCTGTCACTGCCTTAATTCACTAGCTTGGACATGGCTCGCGCCGAGCCCACAGTTCTGGGTCAAATTTTGGTTATCGTAGCGCACAAGGCTGCACCTAGTGCGTTGTCTTTGCCGCCAGGCGCGCTGAGGAGAGTGCTGTCGCGGTCAGCGCTGCTTCCGCTTCGCGAGGCGCAGGTGAAGGAGGAATTTCAACTGCGTCTAAGTTCACTCCGAGGGATAACGCACCTTGCGCTCGTCTAACAAGCATGCCGTGGTGTATCACACTGGCCATTTTCTCAGGATAAGGTCGTGAAGATGGAAGTATGCCAAGTGAAACGGCGTGTCTCCCGGGACCCCGAACACTGCAGGCGCTCTCCGCGACGAGATCAACCAGGCCGTTTCCGATCCCGACCACAGCGATCTACGCGGCTCATCACCAGTCGACCAGTGCCTGAGAGAGCTCGGCCGCAATAATGATTCCGTTGTGAGGACTATGTCACTACGCAGTGATTATTATTCTATTTGATCTGAGCTAGTGCTCCAATCAATCCTCCGAAAGTATTCGGGGTAAACGCGTCTTGGGTGCATCCACTATAACGAGGAGATGCCCCTCGTAGCATCTCTGAGCGGCGCCGCGACACAACGTATAAATACCCTCTGCCCGACCAGCTGCTATCCTTAACCCGTTCGAAAGCCTCCACTCCTCTGACCAGACTTCGCCCCGAGAGAAATCATGGCAGCCACATCTCCCGTATCGCTCGCTGAAGAGCTTCTCAAAACCGTCAAGTCGCTCGAAGGGCAAGGCTCTCGTCTAAGCCCACAACAAGCCTATGACGCGACAAGACGCGTCGAAACTCTCACCGACAAGATTAAGAGGACAGTCCTCGGGCCCCTGGAGTACACCATCCAGATCGCAGGTACCTCCCTTGGTCTTGTTAACCATACGGCACGCTGAGTTTGAGATAACAGAATCTTGCCACGAGAGCGCAGCTCTGCGATTCGTCACAGAACTCGGAGTCGCAGACGCGATAGGGGATGACGTTAAGACGCTTTCTGAGATCAGCCAGCAAGCAGGAGTCGGCACGCTGTACCTGGGCAAGTGGCCAAACATGCTTACCTCTGGCCTTACTGACTTTCTACTGTCCATATGTATAGGTATCGCTATGAGCTGTCTCGTCGCCCACGGATACTTCGAAGAGGTGGATGGCTTCGGTTCCCGAGTATACAAGAACAACGCCATGTCCAATATTCTCCGGGCTCATAGCGACGATACGTTCTGCAGTGCCATCGGGTTTGTGTAAGTGTCTGCTACATGTTTCTGTAAAGCCCATGCGCTAGAGACTAATGCCGTGTAGGTGTGATGACTCTTTCAAGGCGGCTGCGCACCTTGTAGAGACTGCACGTGCGGGTGGCAACAAAGGGGGCAAGAAAGGCAAATCCGGGGCCAATCTCGCCTTCGGCTTCGAGGGCCCCTTGTTCGAGTGGTATTCCGGCCCCGCGCAAGTCTGGCGAGGGCAGCGGATGGGCCGCGCCATGCAGCAGCTGCACAAGATGGCCAATGGGAACGTCGTCACAGGTACGTACCCGCTCTTCGCTCTTCACAGTCCGCGCTAACCGACGAATGGTACGTTTCTAGATTTCGACTGGTGCGCGCTCGATGGTCCGGTCGTCGACGTCGGCGGAGGCATCGGGTCTCTCGAGATGACGGTCATGAAGACCTTCCCGGACACGGCGCCTCCTTTCATCATTTTTGATATCGCCGAGACATCCGCGGACGCCCGCAAGGTACGGTTCATTCATTGCACACCCCAGCTTGCCGCCCTCTCTGAGCTTCGCTGACCCTTTCCCCACAGGCATGGAGCGCCCAGCCTCCCGCCGCACAGGCCCGTGTCTCGTTCGCCGCCGGCGACTTCCTCGCATCGACCCTGGAAGGCACGGGGCTTCCCCGCGGCCAGCCGACGTACCTCATCCGCCACGTTCTGCACGACTGGACAGACGATGAGGCAGTGGGGATCCTCAGCAACGTGCGCATCGCGATGCTCGCGTCCAACGAGGGAGCGCGCAAGGCGCACGGCCGCCCGAAGCTGCTGCTGTGCGAGATGCTGCTGCAGGAGCGCAGCGGCCGGTTCGTGTACACGACCAGCGTCCAGGCCCTTGCGCTGAACAACGGCAAGACGCGCACGGAGGCGGAGATGGTTGGCCTGCTGGAACGCGCCGGGTTCAAGGTGGTGAAGGTGCACGCGATGCGCGCAGTGGACTCTATCATAGAGGCAACCCCAGCGGAGCTCTAGGTCTCGCTTTGCATGAATCGTACTAGTCAGGCTTGGAGCTGCCCTTGTAGTATTATTTACATGTCCAAAGATCAAAATTTATAAAGTTGTATACAGTGTTTCAAAGGCTGATCTACCTGGAAGAGAGAAACATAAGCTTGATGACTAACAGTGCAAATCAATAGAGCACCTTTGAATCTTCTCAGCTCGTCAATTGCTGGCCCCCCTGCGAGACATCATGCCTACCGAGATAAAAACCTCGAGGCACCATCTCCAAACGAGTTGACCCGCGGCGGCGCCATCCCGACGCAGGTGTTCATTGTTGGGCTGAGCGCCGCCTTCCGGCTGTTTATTAATCAGGGCTCTCAGCTTTTTGCCTGTGATCAACAAGCCTGAAGTAAGTACACCGTTGCCAATATAACTCTGTTAAGTTGACATGCACTAGCAAATAGTTCAAACGAGGGGTTATCCTTATTTTCGTGGGCACGCGGATGTCGAACTCGATAGCCCCGGTGCGTGAGATCCGAGAAGTCGAGCGCTCCGGGATAGCGATAGCGCCCGCTATACATTGCGCTAATCCTCCGGCAGAGCGTCAGTCCTGTGCTAACGGTAACATTTGCAGGAACAGCCTGACGATTTACAGTTAGCCGGAAAGCTTACATAGTGATCAACAAGTGCCTGCCAGTGGCTCTCCACAGGCACACCTCTCCGTGTACCTGGCCTTCAGATCATTACCTCAGGCATTGTAAATCGTTCAAGTGGCGGCCGCAGTGGGGAAAGCATAAGTTCCGGGTCATCGGTGTGCGGCGTTGACGGACTTCGAGCCGATGACAACCGTTGTGGCGACAAGACCCGCGACGGCCGCGCCGGTACCGGCAGCGTCTCCGAGAGAGTTGACAGTGGCTTTGTACCTGAGTCGCCCTCGCGTTGAATTCGCCGCTGGTGCTCGACACCAAGTCTAGGCTCATTGTATGTCGACTGGTCCAGATATCGATAGATGACTTGTTGCTCGTCGCCTGCGGTCTCTTCGGCCGCTTTCCCTTGTAAACGGCGCGCATCGTGCTTAGCGGCCGCGAGAGCTCGACATGGAACATCGAATACGCGCCTGTCAGTCTATTTTTCTGCCTTCGTGTGCATGTGCTGAGCTGAAGCCAGTTAGCATTCGCACTAAAAAGGTCGGATGTCTCTTAAAGTAGACGGGGTGCCCTCGTGCCAAGTGGTCGCGAGATCTATATCGAAGGAGAGCTGTCGACAAGGCTGAGCTGTCTCACACGGGGTAATCATTATAGATCTATCATCGCTGCCGCTGTACGCAGCTACTGGTCTACCGGGCATGTCACGAGTGATCATCGATTAACTTGGGTCGGCATGCAACGCAGCGACTTAAAGCGCACATATATGTTCCGCAATAACAGACGTTTTGTAGGACCTTCTAAGAGACATCCTGAGAATATTGCTATTCAAATATACAGCTTTAAAGACTCACCATGCTTGCTTCACAACAGAATGACTTACTGATCTGCGTGGCTAGAGCTGCGGCACTGGGGCGGAGTATGAAACGTTCGAGCAAGCGCCAAGAGGAGCTTACAAATGCTGATAGCCTCCTACTCCGATCCCGCTAGAATCTGCTCTGAGTAGTCCAGATGACGTTCTGCACGAACAACCCAGCAGCGCCTGCTTATATTCTGTTTTCTGCGAGTATGAAGTGCCCATACACACGTCGAATACAGGACCAGCAGTTCCTGTCGAAAAATGGGCCCTGCGACTTGGACGAGAAGTTGGTTCGAAAACAGCCTATTTTGTACACAAATTTACAGGACGGTACACTGGAGCCGAAATAGACGGAGATATAAGTACAGGGCATAAGAACATAGCGACATAGTTTCCAATCACGAGGGCTAATAGACAGCACGAGACTTAGAGAATACCCATCTCCTTAGCCTCAGCCCACTCTTTCGGATACAGCTTCTTCGAAGCCGCCGGGAACAGGGTCAAACGAGCGTAACCGCCGCGTACCAACGGGTTCTCGATGCTCAGCAACCTCACGATCTTGGGGTTCGGAGGGACGTGGTACTTGGCAGCGTCGCCGCCGACGAACTTCGGCAGCGGCAACACAGGCTTCTCGAGGCGAGTGGAGAACGCGTACGGGATTGTGTAGCTAATCGGAAGTCCAAGTCCAGGGTTAGTTATACGAGTATGCTAGGCAGATGGAGCATACTGACCGGTCCTTGTCGATCTTCAGGGTGTTGACGCGGTGGGTCGTCGCAACGAACTTCCCGCCAGTCAGCTTCATCAGCTGCAGACCTGCCAACAAATCCTTCGTCAGATACTCGCACCATCTGTAAGAAGTGGGCCATTTACCAATGTTGCAGACAACACCGCCTTTGACCAGAGGGACGTCGATCCACTCCCCAGCGTGATTCTGAACTTGCAGCCCAGGGCGCGACTGAATCAGGCAGTTGTACAACGTCGACGGGTCACGGTGCTCGTGCATGCCCTTGACGAATCCATTCTTGGCCGTCGCCTGCATCTCAGGCGTGAGCGGCAGGTAGTGCCAGATTACGCTCGTGAAGTCGACGAAATCCGTGTAATACTCGTCCAGGACCGCCTCAGGGATGTCGAGAAGGGTGCAGATGTGTTTGTTGAGCTTGAGATTGAGCGAGATGTAACGTTCGAATAGTGTTTCGATGGCCAGCCGGAATCCCGGCATGTCGGCCTCCGCGGGCCATTGGTTGGGGCCTAGAACAACAAGGTCAGTCCATGGGCCTGTAAATGCATTGTCTGCAATCGTTGAGCGCACCTTCTTGCAACTTCCGGTAGAACGGAATTTCCTCGTCCCCTTGCGCCACCGGCACCGGGAGTTCGGTTCCGAATCGATACCCTTCAGAGTGCGCCTAAAGAGGACTGCGTAAAACCCTTGCAAGCTCATGAATACGACCGACCGACCGACCTACCTTGTTGTCTCCTGCAATATCATCGCCGCGGAAGTAGCCCCGCAGAGCATTTGACTTGGCTGTCGATATAGCATCCTTCCATGCCTGTGGCTTGCTGTACAGCTGATCGGCATGGGCGAAAATCTTCTGCTGGAACTCGTCGTCAAATCCAGGGACGTTGATGAACATGCCGAAGCCGACGTCCTCGAATGCGCTGCGAAGCTGTTCATAGAATATGGCAGGGTCGGACTCGGACACGGCCCAGTCGACGATGGGGATCTTGTCGAAGACCAGCTGATTCTTTGAGACGAAGGACGGAGTAGGAGCGGAGTCCTTGGATTCGCCGTTCATCGTGCTGAAAGGGCTGATAGTAGTTGTGGTCTGCGTCGTTGAGAGGGAGGTGGCAAGCACGCAAGCGTTCGCTGTCTGTTCGGCAGGTAACTGCGATATGAGTGTTTATATACGAGTGCGAGGCGCAGCATGGTAAAAATACGGGAAAACAATGTGCGTACGAGGTGCCGGAAAATACGAGGTTGTTTCTCTGCTCTTCCAAGGCCAGAATATGATATTGTCTGCGTTCAGCCTCGCACTTTGGATCGGAATTGGACGATACCCTTGGAAAGCTCGCCCCACCTGCCCCCGTTTTGCCGCGAATGAATGCAAGACCTATGCAATACGTTACCATGTTTACGTGCTTACTGAAGGATAGGACTTCCCAAAGTTAAACTCGGCGGGACTGCGGGCGTTGACGCCTATCCCGCGCGTCACTAGCTCCAATATAATTTGATACAGTGTTTGCCAGCTTTTCCCCGGTGTTCCACTTTCGGCTCTTTGTGATAACGTAGCTTGCTGCGGACAGAGCGAACGACACAGAGTGTAAGCGCAGTCCTTTCTTGAGAAAACTTGGCAAGAACTGGTCAAATGAAAACCACCTGATTCTCGGTTGCACGTAGAACCAAATTGAGGTGATATCCAGTGCAGAATTGGCTGAACGAGACAAGTAGGTAGCGCCAAAGTCTGCTCGAGAAATCGTCGTAGTCGGTAAATTACTCGATTGGGATTACCTCGAGAACGTCGAGCAGAGTTCAGATGTGCGTTTCGAGCTGTAGGCCGAGCAAGACATAGCGTTCGAAGGGCGTTTTGGAAGACCGACAGGTTTATTTTCGCTGACCATTGGTTGTGTCCTAGAAGGACGCTGTCAGTCAGTGAATGCGTAAACTGTGACTGTAGAGCACACCTCCTCGCAGCTTGTAATGTAATACAATCTCTTTGTTGACATAGAGATGACTTGTTCGACAGCTTTTAGAGGGTTGAACGACAACAGGTGGTCATCAGCAGTCCAGAGCCTCTGCTCCAGCGCGACATGGTCGCAATTGAGGTAGGCGGCCCCAGAGCAGAGCGCAAGAATTTCCCAAGAGCCGCCTTCAAGAACGAACCGAGAGGCAGTGGAAGGATAGTGTGCGGTCCCTGCGAGTTGAAGACGATGCAACCACTCCGGATCGCAAAGTTCGCTGCGTACAAAGTCGTGACGCCTTCCTCTCTCAGCTCGCCTTCGACGCGGATCTGGAGAGAAGACAGTATATGTATCCGTGTCGCTACCGGGTGGGCACATCGGGCATACGAAGACAAAGGAGCGAATGATCTCTCTGATATCGCTGCCATAGATGAAGTGCTCGATGTCGACTCTCGGCTGCGTAGTACCGCGGATGCCAAACATCACCTTTGACGAGGTGCAAGGTTGCCGTTCTCGTCGAGCACCATATTTTTTTCCAACGACAAACCAGTAGCCTCTCGACTAAGCCGCGAATCGACGCATACTGAGCGCACGAAAACTTACGGTGGCCTCTCTTGTGCAAAGAATAGACAGTAAGCTCCTGCGAGCAAAGCAAAGGTTCCGCACCTACGGCAGGCTTCGAGATCTGGACAACTTCTGCTCCAAAACGAGCCCCGCAGCTTCACCGCTCTCGGAGAAGGCTGCAAGGGCGCTGGATAACGGAAGACCGACAGGACCGCACGGTGCTGGCGAGATGGACGCTCTTGAGCTCTGCAGTATTAGCTAAAGTACGAGCTTACACAAACTGAGTCTTACATTTGCCTCGGTTGTGCGAGTGTCTGCGCCGCCGATAATCGGACGAGCGTTCGCGGACGAGCATACTAATATAATTTTGGCGCTAATTAGGAATGGGCGGCAATTATGCAGGACCCTGTACACCTCTTACCGTTAACTGCAGGTTACTGACGTCGTCACTCGTGCTAGGTCATTTGCACGAGCGATCGTTGTGTAATTCAGCAGTGTAGATACCTTACAAGATGCGTGCTCTGACATTTCAGTAGAATTTGGCGTTTCAAGGGAAAATGCAAGTCGCGACATAGTAGGGTATCACTGCCACGGCCACGCAGCCACCACGTAATGAGCTGCTCGTTAACTTGGTACAGCCTGTATGATAGAGTTTTTAAATACGCAGTTTGTAGAGCCGAAAGCTCCACACCGGTTTGATCATGCAGAGAGCCAGCCTCCTACTCCGTTCGCATTACTTGGTTATTTAATGTCAGCACCTGTACTATGCTGGTCGTTAATGCAACAAAATCTCGCTTTGTCCTCACAGGAACATCTTGCAAAACAGCGACATGGAAATTTCTGCCAGTCTTTGAGCTGAGCACTCAGTTGGATCAATCAAGTGGCAAAGTAAGCGTCGTGGCGCGAACGCTCTTTTGCCGAACGTCCGTCATTTAATCATCTGTTCAGCTGCGCAGGCTGCGTTGAACGGGATAAATGGGTCGAGATGCGTGAGATGCTCTTTGCTTAGACGACAAATTGTAATAATTCCGCAGACGTTGGGCGCGTGTATCTAAGCCTCGGAAGATCTAGTTTCCCAGACCTCTATGAGCTTATACCGTATGCCATGTCAGCACTCCAGTATTCCACTGCCCACATCTGCCTCGAGTGAGTAATCAGAGCATTCTCCATTTGAAGTCTTCCTCTGATGAGCCAGTATTTGCTATGTTTAATGTCAAATGTGGACGTGCTGCCATACCGGCGACGATGCTCGCATCATCAGTGACTTAACATAGCTGCCCCACATTCTCCCGTATATTTCTCGCGCCAAGCATGGGCGGTCTCCGATATTACCGGCTTAACGTCAGCCGTTTGAACCCGTCCGCCGGGATAACGGCAAGACTTGGAGTGGGAATATTCACCGCAATTAATTCCTGCCGTGCAGGCCGTCTTGACACGATATGTCACGGCAAAGTTTGTCTTATGTCAGCGGTGAGATATCTTTGGCACGCATAGATACCCAGGGCAGAACGCTGCGGCGCGTGGATTCAATAACAGGTCGTCTCGCGCAGAAGGACAACGATCAGAGATAAGGGTCTTCGACTGGGACAGCGCCCGCTCATGAATTCCTTTCTCATGATGCCGACGAATTGAAGGCTACCGATATAGATGCATCTTGACGCGTTCATCTCCGTGACTCGGCTCGAGGTTTCCTGCCCCGCACCAGAACATCTCCACATCAGTAACACTTTCAACTCAGACAATGAAATCAGGCTCCCAGTGGATATGCTTGCGACATTCAGACACAACCGGGGTGATACTCGTCTTGGCAAGCCGCGACCCAGGGCTGTACATGGCCTGCTGGGAATTGCGTTCACTCTGAGCATGACATATCGACAGCTCACTCAATCTTCACTTTGGCTTTTTTAACGAACTGTAGTGCTGTCGAGGGAGTAGACTACCTTTCAAATCATCGAAGATCCGATAGAGGTGGTCTCGCACCTTTGGTCCTGTAAGCCAGACCCAGTGCTACATTGGGATACCCCGCTGCCAATATCGCCAAAAGCCAGATGAGAAGAGCGCGGCGTGCGTCGTCACATGTACATGCATCGCAGCGTCTGCTTTTCCACATGGCATGAGCTACCGTGACTACAGCGCCCAGTCTAGAATGAAGATGAGCAAGAGAAGACGGCTATCTTCTTGGTGCACCAATACTTACTCCCACGACTTTAACGTCACTACACGCAATCCGTCTCGACTATTACCTCTGACAGATGGTCATGCCGTCGCGGTGGGGCTTTGACAGACGCAATGTCCCATATGCTTTGATACGATGCTTCTGGTCCGGTCGCTCCTCAATGGCTGCGACTCGCATACACCTTGAATGATAGACCTTCCACAACATACCCATGCCTTATCGTGCGCTCACTGGCGCTTTCTTCTCCGCAAAGCGCAGTGCGATATCCAATTCGATGTCGTGACCAGCTCGTTCTATTCGTGCGCTCATGAGTCATGTTTATTGTATTGGATGCTCTTCAGGCAGTACGGCAGGCCGAGCGAGTGCGCGAGAATCCCGCTGCCCGTGCCCTAGGCCATTTCAGGTTGAATAACGATCTGAAACGTTACGGTCTGCTGAAGACAGAAATATTGGGCGGTTGGCGTCTCTGTATCGAGTCGATGCTTGCACTCGGCGCACCTGTGCCAGACAGCGCAGTTAATTTGTAGGTTCCCCACTGGTATTCGCTAGGTGGGTGCACAGCTTCAGCTTCGGGACTGCCGACTCCGAGTGGACGTGCGAGGGCAAGAATCGGGGATTTGAGCGGATCAGAGTCCGGGACGCCACAAAGTTCTCCCGTGATGCCGGCGGCATGTTTAGATCGTATCACATCCAGAGCTCGACGAAGGAGCGGACGCTTGCCACGAGAGGGGTTATCCTGAGTGCCATACTTTTACGATGAGTAGCCGATCTGCCGCTTATACTCGTAATGCAGTTTACCTACTTCGACAAGTTCTTTGGACAAAGAGCCTGAGCACCCACAAACGAAGAGCACGAAATCGCTGGCCTGATTGATACCTGATGCAGGAAAGAGACAGCCATTATGGAGGAGCACACTAAGAGCGAAGGTTGCTCTCTCGTGATAACTTTTCCCACACGGGCTGTCAGTCACGGTATCCTACTACTCCACATGCGTCGACGGTTGCTGATACTGGCACGCAGCCCCACTCGGTCCGGGTTCGAGAAAATATGGCCTCTAACACCCTGGATACTTCACAAGGTCGCAAAACTGCTTCCTGTCTTCCTAACGGCGCCCAGAGTGCGTGGCTTACCCGTCCACGGCGTACTCCAATGACCAAATGGACTTGTGCTAGTGGCTGGAAGTATCATCATTCTCTCTTGCAAACTCAGTGTACATCTCCACAAAGAGTTCTGCGGCAAGATTCATGTGGCGCACGCTGTCAGAACTTGGGCGATTACGTCATTACCCTGTACGGACTAATGGGGATGTCATCACATGACCCCTCTATTATCTTGTACTAATACGACATCTGATTACTCATGCTTAGTATACATGCTTACGCTCACAGTACCATAGGTCTTATAGCGGTATCAGAGATCCTGACTCACATGTATATATACTGGCCCTGTAGCACAGAATAAAGCAAGAGTTCAGTCGCACTTTAACAGGTTATGAGCCCCGGCCTCACGGCCACTCTACCTCCACTCTACTAGTCTCATTGCTGAAGAAGACCCCTCGGGAAACCTCGGTCCCCTTCACCCAGTTTAAACCAAGTTTATCCACACAGTTTACGAGTAAGTCTCGTTGCGTGCTAGTGGCAGACGGAGCGCTTACGCGTTCATTCCTGCGTAATTTCTAGTGCCAAAGG